AGCCTGTTTGCACTACTGATTTTGTCAGGTACAAGAAGTTCATCGCACAAGAACGAGTATTTAAATTTTTGGCAGGCCTAAACATGGAGTATGATTCGGTTAGGAGTCGAGTTCTGTGTATGGACACTCTTCCATCACTTCAGGAGGCATTTGCCTATGTACAGAATGAGGAGAGTCGCTGGTCTGCTGTGATGTCCCCTGTCTCTACTGACCGCTCAGCATTACTATCTACCCCTTGAGATAGCCTCAGCCTGACTCCCATCCCTCCATCTGCCGCTAAGGAGTCTGTATTCTGTGATTATTGTAAGAAGCCGCAGCATACTCATGAGACGTGTTGGAAGCTTCATGGGACTCCATCCAGGGATCGAGGTGATCGGTCTGGTTCTAGAGGAGGTTGGTCCAGCCAGTCTAGAGGACGTGGCTCCTATTCCCGAGCTCATCAATCTAGTGCCGTTGATACACTTGATTCTAATTCTGCTTCCGTTGGCCAAGCTTCTGATGCTGAGCTTGAGGATGTTCTGTGCCAATTGGTGGACCGCCGGTCTTCTACTGCTCTCAGTACATCTTCCTCGTCATTTGCCCGCTCAGGTAACTTAGCCTCTTCTCCTTGTGTTTTCCTGTCTCATAAGTCTTTGCCTTGGATAATTGATTCCGGTGCCTCAGATCATATGTCTGGCTCCTCTGATCTTTTCTCTGCCTATAAGTCCTCTTCAGGTCAGGACAAAGTTAAGATTGCAGATGGTACTGTTTCTTTCATTTCTGGGAAAGATTTAGTCCAAGTCACTCCTACCATACCTCTATCTTCTGTTCTCCATGTTCCCAATTTTTCTGTTAATCTGTTATCCGTGAGTCGTCTTACCCAGGATTTGAATTGTAGTGTGACGTTTTTTCCTGATCATTGTCTTTTTCAGGACCTTGTCACGAGGAGGACGATTAGCAGTGGTAGTGCAGAAAATGGTCTATACTTCATGGATCAACCGGACACGCTTGCTTATTCTTCCACCACGCGTTCTACTACCCCCGCTGATTTATGGCTATGGCATCGGCGTCTTGGGCATCCTTCTTTTTATTTACTTAAGCATTTATTTCCATCTGGTTTCGCAAATCATCATGTGTCTGAATTTCTTTGTAAGTCTTGTCAACTTGGAAAACAACACAGCGCTTCTTTTGCTCCCAGTTTTAATAAAATTTTAGTTCCTTTTTCATTAATACATTCTGATGTTTGGGGTCCCTCTTGTGTTATGTCTGTGAAAGGTCATCGATGGTTTGTTACATTTATTGATGATTTTTCTCGTACTACTTAGGTGTATCTCATGAAAGATAAGAGTGAGGTTTTCTTTGTGTTTCGCAATTTTCATAAGATGATTTATACCCAATTTGGGGCCACTGTCCAACTATTTCGTTATGATAATGACGGGGAATACATAGATTCTAGGTTAGGGCAATATTTTTCTACTCATGCCATTATCCATCAGACCTCTTGCACCAATACCCCTCAACAAAATGGGGTGGCGGAACGCAAGAATCGCCATCTTTTTGACATGGCTCGGTGCATATGTTTTTCTATGAGTGTGCCTCGGCCCTATTAGGGCAACGCTGTTTTCACCGCTACACATCTTATTAATCATCTTCCTACCCAGGGCTTGCAAAACAAGCTCCTCTTCACGTCCTCCTAGGTTCTTAGTCCTTATTTTCTATTCCTCCCAAAATATTTTGTTGTGTCTATTTTGTTCATAATCACTCTCCTACTCGTGGTAAGTTGGACCCTCGCTCCCTCAAATGTGTTTTCCTTGGTTACTCTCCTACTCAAAAGGGGTATAAGTGTTATCACCCTTCTTCTCGTAAGTGGTTTGTGTCCATAGATGTTATTTTCTTTGAGTCCCAGTCCTATTTCTTGTCCTCTCCGGTGTCACAGTCCTCATTTTCGGGGGAGCCTTGGTGTGAAGTGAGTCCTGTGATTCCTATGGTGGAACCAGTTGTTCTTGCCCCATCCTTTTCTACTGAGACTAGAGAACCCAATGTCACCAAGGATAGGGAAGGGCATGTTTATGTCCGGGACATAGACAGACAGAAAGTTAACTGGATACAAGGGACCACTTTTGCTCCTCCATTGCCATCTCCTGCTTCTGATGAGAGTCTAGGTAACTTTGAATCTCTTGAGTACATTGATCTTGATGTTCCTAATGCCAAGAGGAAAGGTGTGAGATCTTGTACTCAACATCCTATCTCACATTTTGTGTCCTACTCTCATTTGTCATCCTCATATAGAGCGTTTGTGTCAAATATTTCCTCTGTTAACATTCCTAACCGTTTTCAGGATGCTCTTGCTACCTCTGAGTGGAAACTAGCCATGATTGAGGAAATGAAAACATTTAGGAAAAATGGAAATTGGGAATTGACTGAGTTACCTACGGGCAAACGACCTGTGGGATGTAAATAGGTATATACTGTGAAACACAAAGCAAATGGTTCTATTGAGCATTACAAGGCAAGACTTGTGGCAAAAAGGTTCACTCAGGCTTATGGCATTGATTATCAGGAGACCTTCGCACCCGTAGCTAAGATGAATTCAGTCAGAGTATTTCTCTCTCTAACAGCTAATCTAGATTGGCCGTTTTATCAGTTTGATGTCAAGAATGCCTTTCTCCATGGTGACCTCGAAGACGAGGTATATATGGACATTCTTTCTAGTTTTGAGGATCATTAGACAGAAGGCAAAGTATGCAAGCTTCGGAAGTCATTATATGGTCTCAAACAGTCTCCAAGGGCTTGGTTTGAGAGATTCACTCAAGCTATGCTTAAATATGGCTTCAAACAGAGTCAGGCAGATCACACCTTGTTTGTGAAACATCCCTCACGTGGTAAGATTACAGCACTTATTGTTTATGTAGATGACATAGTTCTTACAGGCAATGATAGTGGGGAAATCCCTCTGTTGAAGAAATATTTAGCTAGTGAGTTTGAAATCAAAGACTTGGGAAGCTTGAAGTATTTTCTGAGAATTGAAGTTGCTCGCTCCAAGGATGAGATATTTATCTCACAGAAAAAATATGTGCTTGACCTGTTGAAGGAAACTGGGATGCTTGGCTGCAAGGTATGTGACACTCCACTGGAACCCAATCAGAAATTGGGGGATGATGAAGGAGGAGAAGCTGTTGATAGGGGGAGCTATCAGTGATTAGTGGGTAAGCTCATTTATCTATCTCACTCCTATCCTGATATTGTTGTTGCTGTCAGTGTGGTTAGTCAGTTTATGCATGCTCCTCATCAGATTCACTTTGAGGCTGTCATGAGAATCTTGAGGTACTTGAAGTCTGCTCTTGATAAGAGTCTTTATTTTTCAAAGTATGATCATCTTTGTGTGGAAGCCTATACAGATGCTGACTAGGCTGGATCAGTAACAGGAGATCGACTTCAGAGTATTGCACCTTTGTTAGAGGCGACCTAATTACTTGGAGTAAGAAACAGAATGTGATTACCAGATCAAGTGTAGAAGCTGAGTTTAGAGGTATGGCACAAGGGATGTGTGAGCTTTTATAGATCAAGTTATTGTTAAGTGATCTAGGTACTGATCAGACAGACTCCATGCGGTTATACTGTGATAATAAGGCCGCTATCAACATCGCTCACAATCTGGTTCAACATGACAGGACAAAACATGTTGAGATTGATTGCCACTTCATTAAGGAGAAACTCACTAGTAGTACCATTTGTACTCCTTTTGTCCGGTCTGGTGAATAACTTGCTGACATTCTCACCAAGAGGGTTGGGAATAAGCCATTTCATGACATATTAGGCAAGCTGGGCATGAAAGATATCTTCGCACCAGCTTGAGGGGGAGTGTTAATATATTATATTATTATATTATTATCTGAGTTATTAGTTTGTAATTATTCTATGCCTCAAGGCTCCCTTGTAATTTCTACAAACTTTAATCTTCATTAATATAAATAGGGGATGATATCCTATCAAACCCTAAGTTGGTTACTCCCTAAAATCATCAGTTCTCGCGTCCTTTTTTCTTCTTTTTTTGGCATTTCTTTAGTTTACATGTGGCATTAATGTTGCCTAACAATTATGTGAATATACAACTGAGTAAGAAACATATATATGTAAAGTATGTGTATGTATGAATGCTTGCTTATTACACAAGGAGAAGTGCATGTATATGTCTCTGCAGATAAGATTATATGAGGATGTATATCATGCATCTCTATCAGTACATATCCCAAAATTATGATCAAAAAGTTTTTTCCCAAAAAAAAAAATATATATATATATATATATAGAACATGAATGGATGCAACCTCAACCACTTGAAATTTTCTTTTTTAATTGGTAAGCGCCATACAATAAGAGTGCTCGTGTATCAGGTTGAGTCAGGTGGCCTCTACTTTGCCATCCATCCAAACTTAGGTGGATTGGTAAAAATCAATCCGCATCCATCCACTTAGTTAACGGATGCGGATTGAGCGGCCCATGCTACAAATTATTTTGGCGGTTTGGGTTTTATTGTTTTAGGTCTTTTTCCAATAATTATTTACTATTTTGCCCAAAAATTTTGATTGTTCATTTTTTATAATAAAAATAAAGGCCCAACTTTCATATTTCATAAATAGCAAATATATTTACTAAATAAGTTTTTTTTTGACATACAAAGCATAAAAGTATAACTTCATTTTCTTAGGAGTGTTGGTGGATCAGCTTGGATCGAGTGGCCTCCCATCCGCTATTTGTCCGAACTTAGACAGATTGGGAAAAATGCATCTACATCCGTCCGCTTGGACCATAGAAACCGTTCATTATGTGGTAGATTGGTTCAGGCCATTCAGTTTTGGTGGATCGGGTGGATGCTTGCCCACCCTACCATACAATTAGCATGATTTATAAATTTTGACGCTCAAACCATCAAGTACTGTAGAAAATATGAAAGTTGGTAATGATATAACTTGGAATACCATGGTTTTTTCAAGTGAGTGACTAAGAAACATGAATCGCACCTTTGATTTGTCGCTTAATAAAAGCCTTCCCAATCTCTACGAATAAAGGATCAGAAGGATCTAGAAGGAAAGTACAACACCAACGAGTATCACCGTCAACCGTGTTCCTATGATAAGAAAATATGGAAATTTCAAGTTGTATAGTATAACAAAAGTTTGAAGTTTTCAAGCATTGCACAAGAAGCTCATTTCAGCAGACGAGCAAATAGCAAGTCTGCTTATGATTTGTTATGAAAAGATACAAAAGAGTATATACATAAAATTCAAGAAGACTACAAAAGCAAAATTAGCACAAGCTAAAAGTTGCAATAGTGTTAAAATTTAATTTATTGTACATTTTCAACTTGACGGAGATGTTTTGATCAAGTAGATTGAGTAGTCATGACATTAGCTTGATGTTGGCACGGCTCACCATGAACACATGAATGAAAGTCAACTTGCTATCAGCAAATGTATCCACCCTGCCAGCTCCCAACGTGCTCATGTCGACCATTTTTGGAACTTAATTAAAATAGGGCAAATTATAAAACAGTGGAAAGACCAAAAACTATTTACCAAAAGATTGGGGGGGGGGGGGGGGGAAGGATTCTTTCTCTATTTTAATTTTTCTTCTATTGGTAAAATTACCTGGAATAGAAAGCATTCAAGATGAAAGAAGAAATGATAAAATAATCTTACAATATAGGAATTGGGGGATAATATTAACAGTAGCATGCATGTGACAGTAACCTAGTAACAACTTAATCACATAGTGTCAGCTTCTTAAGCATAATAGTACTTCATGAAAGAAAAAGAATAAAAAAAAAAGTTATCATCGAAAAGTAGGCACATCAAAGAGCAAGAATAATGATTACCAGTCCCCTAGTCTTGTAATATTTGCAGAAGGGAATATATCTTTGAGTGCTCCTGGAACATTCCCAGAAAAAGATGGCAGCACTGCAAAAGAAAGAGATTCCTTCTTGATTAGACACAACATCAAAATCACAGGGAGGTTCATTAGAAATGATAAGTGATTCAAATCAAACCATAAGAAGATCAAGAAAATGCTTACAAGACAAACACACTTGGGACTTAGGATAATTATGGTTTACCCTTATTGGGTCTTATCTTATGCTTGTTTTTACATTATTTATGGGGTATTTCAGTAATTTTCACATTTGCTGTACTTGAGTTGTAGGGGTAGCCCATGGATTGTGGTATGCGCCAAGTCATGGGCTAGGGATTTATTTATGGGTCTTATTTGATTGTAGATAGCTTTTAAAAGTCAGAAGTCCTCCAAATTATTTATCAAAAAAAAAAAAAGAAGAAGAAGTCTTAGTTTCCAAAGAGGAAGTCAAATCCTACTGGGGGAAGAAATTATCTAATGTTAATGCTTCTAATTCAATGGAGATCAGTTTGGAGATACTTTTTAGAGCTTTTGAAGCTTTCTTGGGATTGTGTGATAAAATTTTGGCCCTAGATGTGATGCCTAAGGATTCTAGGAGTGTGATTCTTAGAGTTCTCTTTTCTATTTTATAATTTTCCTGCACTTCTAGCCTCTAAACCATATAACCAAATCTTTTTTAGCCCCTATTCATCTCTCAAGCATTGTAGTCTCTCAACCCTAACACTCTACTTGCAAAAGAAATCAAAACCAGAAAAGTTACTGTTCACGGGTACTATTCACAATGCCCAGAACAACCCCAAACAGCCCATAAAACCTTGTGTTCTCATTCTCCAAATCCTATTGCTTTATTACCTTGACACAAACCCGTAAAACCCTCTATCTTTACCACTACTCAGCAACAAAATTAATTAAAATCATCCCCATAGCCTATGTTTTCTGCTGCTGTACATTGAGTTTGGGTTCATAGGAGAAGTCTTCACACATTTGTCCTACATCAGTAAGTCAAATTTCAATTTGTCCCAGAAAAGTATCATATCTCTGGATGTTTAGTCAAATGTCAAGTGATATGGAATTCATAAATGAGAGGCCCTTTCAATCATGAAGCTGACTGTACCTGGAGTCATGCCTAACTCTATCATCCGTGATAATATCTGTTTTTGCAGCACCAACTGTTGATCCAACCAATTTTGTGATAGAGGCCCACCCCACCTGTGATTCAGATAAATTTGACATTCAAAGAAAAATGCAAAAAGAATGAAGACCAAAGCATCTTAGCAGTGTGGTAATGGCATAGAGATAAAGTGATAGGAGTAGGGGTCAGCTTTTTCACTGACAAAAATATGAAAACAATGCAGACTACCAGCAATTCAATCTGTAACTTGTCCAGAAAAGAAAAAATGCACTAAGGGAGCACAAGTTAGAAGACTACAAAAGAGTAAATTTTGATAAAAAGATAGTCTCAAGGAAGAATGATCAGTTGTCCTCTCTGGTGTGTCTTGCTAAGGATCCCTAGGAAAACATGAAATGAGAAGTCATATAAATCCACTGACCTGATACAAACTCCTAGAGCTTTTCCGGTTTTTCTTTCTTTTCTTTTTTTTCTCTTTTGTTTTTCAAACATAAATTAAGCTGCATTACTAAAAATTTTCTTCAACATCTTTCTAGACAAAATAGTACACGTTTTATTTTATTACTCTCTCTCTCTCTTCCATTTTAAAATTTATTTCATACTAGTGATATCTTTGAATTTGAGCATGGTTTTTGTGGGGACATAATTTTTGAATGACAACACGTGGCCGAGGTGTCACCGAAATACCAGCCGAGATGTCACGTGTTTTGGTCATGACACCGAGATGATCTCGGCTAAGCCGAGGTTATCTGCGAAGAAACCAGAATCCGGGATAAGCGGATAAAGGATAAGAATCCTAAAATGAGAGAAGACTTCAATTTGGGTAAAGATAAGACTCTTAGAGAGTTTATCCTAATCCTACTGGGAGTCCAAGATTAGCAGTAATCCTAAGTTCATTAGAGTTAGGCTTCTATTGGGACTAGGATTGTGTTGGCTATAAAAGGGAGGCACCCCCATGGGTCTAAGGTATGTCTTTTATGCTCTGTCTAGTGAGTTAAGCACTATTGGTTACCTTTGAAAGATATTTTACTGACTTGATCGTCGGAGTGCCCCCGGGTGGACAAGCCACCGCCGGAATCTCTTCTTTCTGTTGCAGGTTGTTCGGGCTTAACCTATTCTGCCGGTGTTCTCCAATTGAGTACTAAGTTGGCAGTGTAGTCGGAAATTAACACACACAATTTGGCGCCGTCTGTGGGAATGACAGGAGAATAGATAGCTAACGACGGACAGAAAGAGAAGGTTGGGAATGACATTCCTACTGGAAGTGGGAAACCTATCGACCTTGACGTCGAAGAAGACAACTGCAACAAAGAGACTCGTGATAAGAATGACGGAGGAAAGGACGTCGGCCAGGAGGGCGACGTACCAAAGAAAACAAACCGAAGCGGGTATTATAACGAGGACGGCCTCCAGGTATGGAAAGAAAGATGCCTGCGGAAGGACGATGAGGTGAAGGGAATGGCGAACAAATTAGCGGACCTACAAACGGTGGTCAATTTCATGATGCAGAACAACGTCATGCAGCCACCATTCCCGTTACATGATACGCCGATTCCAGCGGCCAAGAAAGGTGCCCAGAAAGGGGGGGCAAAAAACTGTTTCTGCAGTCCCTTAGCATAGCGGGACCAAGGGACATTCTCACCGGCCCTCGCGGGAGGTTGGGCATGGAGAATCCAAGAAGACAAGATCTCGACCTAGATGATTAGGCCCGAGAAGAAAAAAGCTCAGCCTAAGTTAAAGACTTTTTATATAAGGTCCACAAAGGAGTAGGTGGAAACCATGCAGAGGGCTGGAGAATGATGCTTGGGAGTTGGAATTTTCAAGTCAAGATCAGTTTAACACTTGTTGAAATTTAAATTTACAAGTTGAAATTAAACCGAGGCCATGTTTAACACTTGTTGAAATTTTAAATTTACAATTTAAAGTTAAACCGAGGACGTGTTTAACACTTGTTGAAATTTTAAATTTATAATTTGAAATTAAACCAAGGTCATGTTTAACACTTGTTGAAATTTTAAATTTACAAGTTGAAGTTAAACCGAGGACATGTTTAACACTTGTTGAAACTTAAATTTACAAGTTGAAGTTAAACCGAGGTCGTGTTTAACACTTGTTGAAGTTTTAAATTTACAAGTTGAACTTAAACCGAGAATATGTTTAACACTTGTTGAAATTTTAAAAAAATTTACAAACTGAAGTTAAACCGGGTTCGTGATTAAAAGGAATGATATAGGTTCCATCACCTCAGGATGTTGAGGTAATAGAACCTAGGGGGCAGTTATGGAGACATAATTTTTGAATGACGACACGTGGCCGAGGTGTCACCGAAGTGCCAACCGAGGTGCCACGTGTCTTGGTCATGACACCGAGATGATCTCGGCTAGGCCGAGGTTATCTGCGAAGAAACCAGAATCCGGAATAAGCGGATAAAGGATAAGAATCCTAAAATCAGAGAAGACTTCAGTTTCGGTAAAGATAAGACTCTTAGAGAGTTTATCCTAATCCTACTAGAAGTTCAAGATTAACAGTAATCCTAAGTTCATTAGAGCTAGGCTTCTATTGGGACTAAGATTGTGTTGGCTATAAAAGGGAGGCACCCCCATGGGTCTAAGGTATGCCTTTTATGCTCTGTCTAGTGAGTTAAGCACTATTGGTTATCTTTAAGAGATATTTTACTGACTTGATCATCGGAGTGCCCCCGGGTAGGCAAGCCACCGCCGGAATCTCTTCTTTCTGTTACAGGTTGTTCGGGCTTAACCTATTCTGCCGGTGTTCTCCAATTGAGTACTAAATTGGCAGTGTGGTCGGAAATTAACACACACAGTTTTCATTGCTGCAAAGTCTGATGTTTTCTTTATTTTAATTGAAGGAATGCGGTAACTAGATGTTTTCCGTATTTTAATTAAAGGAATGTGGTAGCTTGAACAGATAACATAAATTTCCTTTTTGCATATTTTTTTTTTTTTTTTTTTTTTTTTTTTTTTTTAATATCCCAAACATACTAATTTTTTTCTTCTCATATTTTAGCCAAAAGTTTTTTTTTTTTTTTGGTCACAAAGAAGCCAATAATAACAGAATTCCCAAAGAAGAATTATCAATATGTAGATAATTTCAGTTAAGCGTAATTTAAAAGGATACACAAATATTGCAATCTGATTGGAAATAGTAATGTTCAATCTCAAAATAGACGTAACACAGTATGATTCACTTCTATAACAAGATTAACCTTCAGCTTAGACGGATATGCAAATCACATGTGCTCACCCATGTAAATTTCCCATGCGAGCCCAGGCAAGAAAAGCAGGTCCACCAAAGAAATCATTCAAATCTTGCTTTCTAATATTAAAATCCTGCCATTGAACAATTGAAAATCAGAACATAACTGAACTTGCATATGTATTGACATTAGCATCAATGAAATCAGCAACTCTAAATAAAATGAATCCTAGCAAAAATTGTATATTGAAACCAGAGAAGTATTAGCAAATAAATAATACTGGCCTTATAATTAGTCATAAGTTTGGAGCTAGGATCTGGCATTCACTCATAGACATCCTTAAAAAGAACAAAGACACAAAGCATGAGCCCATACATTTTCAGCAATATATCACCAAAGGAAATATAATTGAAGACCAATATGACTTGATCACGGTCATCACAAACTTCAACAGAGCATTTTACATTTAATTCCAGAAAGGAAAAGGCATAAATTTTTGAAATGCTATGTCAACAGCAAAACTACAGTAAAGGTTCTTTTCTCCACATACATCCATAAAGATGTATGTGCCGTTAGAACATAGCAGACACACATCATAGACCTAAAGAAGAAGATAAATTTAGCTCAGATCATCACGAAATGCAAGTGAATCTAGATTTACAAAAGCAGGCAACTTTTTAATCATGATAAAGTAAAAGCAAAATGATGCCAAAGCATGTATGCTACAACCAGTTCTATGAATAGCAGGAGCCAATTACCATGTAGGTATAACCAACGTTTATTGCCCTTAAAAATCTACATTTATTAAATTAAATTAGATTAGCTTTGAAAATAAGGAAAAGGATTTGAAAACATATTGATACCAATACATCTCATAAGAATTTCATAGCAGTTCCACACACTACTGCAATTCTGTAACAGAAGATACCATAGCAAGGGTTTTTACTTCTAGCATTCTTTTCTTCTAATTAAATGTGATTGTCTCGTGATATTACTCCATTTTAGGACAAGAAGTTAGTGTTAGGAACATACCAATCAAAAAAAAAAAAAGATGCTAGTAACTTCTCATGTTATTTGTTTTTATTTTATTTATTTTTTTATTTTTATTTTTTTTTTGACTGGCACCGGAGTGTCCAGATCAAAGCCCAACTAATCCCCAGGGATATACAAGCCCTTGGCAAGGAGTTTCCAGCAAGTGCACCATGGTTAATTCAAAGGTTTTCCTCTAGTCCAATGGCTCTAAAGAATTGTTAGCACATAAGAGGTTTCGATCCCTAAATTTTGGAGGGAGCACACCCTTAATTTGTTAGCACCCAAGACCTTACCACCAGGCTAACCCCTGAGGGTTCACACACTTACATGTTATGAATAATTTGATTCATAGGAATAAATTTCTATGTTATGAGTAAAAGTTATTTAGCAATTTTTGGTTATAAATATAAGAATTTTGTTGCTTCCACTTTCGATTCTATTTCATGTTCATATACACATCAAGACCAGCCTATCTTGTACCTTTTTCCTCCGTATTTTCAAGGGCATGGCACTGTCTGACAGTTCACAGACAGAAACCATTCACAAATCTTGAGATCAAGAAACTCGAAATGAGAGGCCTTGACTGCCTTGCAGTTAAACATGGAAACCATTTATCACTAATGAAAGCAAAACTTCTGCAGTTATAGGCAAGGTTGTTCCAAGATCAATCTTGCAAACACTCAATTCATTTTGACAATTTGATTCTTGACTTTGATGGAAAGCCATATTTAATGACCACAATAATCTCATTTTTTTTTTTTTTATTATTCTCATAAATATGTCCAAATGTGGGGCAAGTATGCTTTCACTAAACAATAAAGGAAGGACAGTATTTACATGCCAAACGCAAGTCTTAAACTACAATATTCATTCCCCAATTGCAAGAATTCTAATTTTGAGCTCCGACATGTTTTAAGACAAACAGCAAATAATAAACTGATTGACACATAGAGTAAATATTAATGGGTATATTTGCTCACTGTAAAAACTTTTTGCCAAATGCTTTCTTGCCCTGTGAATGCTAGAGGCAAATTAACTCCTTGAAGAGCCATCCAGTCTATCTCTTTCTCCCATCTTTCCCAATCCCACCAAACATAGGAATCTGTTAATAAGATTATAGGATCATAAGTATTAACAACGGCAGCACCAGATAAATAGGAAAAAGATAAAACAAAGATAAAGTTATGACATAATTCTTTATTCTCATTAACCTTACAGCAAGAATTAGTGATAAAAAAATAATTGCTGACGAATACCGGCTGTTATTAGATGTCTTAAAAGTGTTATCACTTGTTAATTGGTGCTGTTTGTAAAAGGAACATAAGAAATCTTTGCCACCACCTTATTCATTGTAGTGTTGTTGTCCATGAGTGTATCCTAGGTTTTTCTTTCAATCAACAGTTCAACTATTTCATTCTTTGAAAAGGTGAAGATAAGAAAGAGTAGGAAGATTGATGAGCATGCATTAGTTCCTGATGTGGCAATCAGTGAGGAAAAGGATTGACACTCTTTGCATAATATTTATTGAGGCTCAATTTCATCTACTGAATAGTATTAGGCTTTTGAATTCACAGTATATTTGGGCTATAAAAAAAGTTATCCTTCTGTGTATAGTCTCTTGAATTATTGTTACAAACTGTTCACATGATGTATAGGGATGTAGTTTTTCTTTCATATGTGTCCAGTATACATGGTACTCCTTGCCCTAGTGCTGTTTTCTTGATAAAACAAGCTCATCAAAGCAGGAAAAACAAAAAAAAGGGTAATCACGGATAAAAAAATTTCTATTAGGATAATATCTGAAGGTAACAAGAAAATTGATGGTTAACGTTTTTCCACATAGAAATGTATTATAGATTGTGCACAAAAACAAAGAAGACAAAAAAAAAAAATTGCAAAAATTAAAAGAAAAGAGGGTTCTTTGGCAAAGAGAAAGAACAAAGAAACCAAGGAATACATATGAGGCAAACAAGTAAAAAGGAACTAAAAAAACATTGGATTTTTCCCACTCGAGAGAACTACCCACAGTCACAATATAACATCAGACAACGAGTCAAGGATGTATTGTAGTCAATGAACACCATCTAGCCAAGAGGCCCAAGACAACAAGAGTAATCGATAAGAAGAAAGGAGTTAAAAATTATTCAATACTTACAACTGGAAGTTACAACATTTTGGTAATAATTCCATGGGACTGGACGTTGAATAATCACTCCTTCATCTGAAACAAGAGGCAGAGATCCGGGCTTTGGAACAGAAGCAATCTGAATACCACCAGTCTTGTCCCATGAAACATGAGCACCACACCAATATTTTAAATACCAATGGAGGCCAGATGCAATTTCAACTGCAGTAATACCTTCTATCCTAAAGAGAGATACAACAGAGAAAATTCTGTAATCTCACTTGCCAAAAAAAAAAAAAGTCTTCTATGTTACTTTGAAGGAAACATAAATTAGTACATAGTTTTCAATGTCATGACCTTTTCCCTATTCTTTTGTTAAATCTTACAATAAATGAATAAATGAAAGCTAAATAACATATTCTATTAGAAGCAACTGGCTAAAGTTCATTTTTAGCTTTTGATATCATGCTAACTCAAGCAAGCATACATGTGCAAAATATGGAATCTCAAGAAAGTCAGAAACCAGCCAAGTAAGACTTCACTACAAATAATGTCATTCAAATAGCTACAACCCATGTTTAAAAGATAAAAACTTCACATATTCCAAGCTAAACTGTTACAAATTGCATGTACATGTCTATGTCTCGTAGAGATTGAATGCCACCATTTCGTTTCACACGGGACTTGAATATAGAAATCGATAACATGAATCAAGGCCTTTATAAAATATGGAAGACATCTCATAATTATGGTAATTAAGATAGCAATTATCAGAACATCAAGACCAAAATCAATATCATACCATAATTTCTAGTAAATCATACATAATGAGCTCATCATCAATTATTGCGTCTAATTTTCAAGCAGATAAAACACAAGACGGCCATCGGATTTCATGAAAGTCCAAAGATGCCCTAAAAAGTTCAATAATGCTTCTAGGAACCAGTTAAATTTACAGTGCAACATAAGCTGATGATGACAACTAAGTTATTGTATCAACCTTTCATTGTTTGATTTCATCTATATCCACTTCCATTTCAACACTGCATTGACTCAAAATCTACGCAAGACGAGAAAGACATGATGCTTGAGATTCTATAATTAAGATTGAAAATAAAAGAACAGCATAGAAAAGGTATGATAACACTGAAAAAGTCTCTGACCAATCAGACCATTAAAAAATGAAAATTCGGTGCTTGTAATGGTCAAATTCTACATACATTATCTTTGGTTCATTCTGCTTGAGTTCTTGTAATTGGTTATCCGAAAGCAATAGCGTCCACCACAAATATCCTAAAAGTTAAAAGTGAGAACTATTAACATAGTTAATTATGATAAATTAGGAAAAGATATTGACAACATTGGCTGAAAAGATAAGAACATTTAAAAGCATATGAATTTTAGACCAACCAATAACTAATATATGTTCAATAGTTGAAGTTAGGAACACGAAGCAGTTTACATCCCATTTTAAATAATTTGTCATTAAAAACTCTTCAAGACCATGAGTTTTTTTTTTTTTTTTTTTTTTTTGGAGAAATTTCCACTCGTTAATTATAAAGATACACTATTTGTTGACAGTTGACAGTTGACAACAAGGCCGGCAGATGCAGAGTAAAAAGCAGCTAAAGAAAGGTTAAATTCAAAGAAGCGATAATATTTGGACATTGGCATAATTTCAAAAAGAAACCGATAAGAACTATTCATAATTATATTTTTAGTGTTATTAGTCTTATTTTATAGTTCTTTTATATTTTATAGAGTTTTTAAGTTGGGGGTATTTTGGTAATTTATGTAATTAATTTTTATATGTATTTCTTATTTGGTCTTAGATAGGTTTTGGAAGTCATATTTTTAGAAGCTTCCTATTTTGGAATCCCAGCTAATAAAAGAAGTTTCTAAAGTCGATATAAAGTCATGCAATACTTCTAATTAATGGAGTTGATATTTTAGAGAATTCCAATAGCTCTGCAACTTTCTTATGGATTGTGTGATGGAATTAAACCCCAAGTGTGATGCCTAAGAGAGTCTAGGAGTGATTCACAAAACTATCTTATTCTCTTTCTTTCCCAATTGTATTTTCTACACTTTAACATTCCCTAAACAATAATAAAATCTCATATTTTCATGCTTAAATTCTTACCCCTTTATTACCCCATACAAACCCTTAAACCCCTATACTCTGATTGTAATTTTCAGCTGTAAAACCCAACTAAAATCAGCCCCAAAAGCCTACTGTTGCTGTTGTCCCTACTTGTCCTACATCACCAGCCCTAGGCATAGGCGAGCTAGGCCGCCACTACCTAGGGCCCTGAAAAAAATATGGCCCTTGTACCAAATGCAAAAAGAAAATTTTGTTTACTTCTTTAGGCCTCAAATAAAAAAGTGCCCAATTCCAGATTATACAAGATTAATTAATAATTTTGCAGCTAAAAATGCAAGGAAAGTAATCTTTGTGTGAGATTTTTCTATAATTTGTTCAATTTTTTTTTTTTTTGTTTGGTATTATAATTTTAGATTGTTTTAGTATTTTGTCCTTATTGTGAACTAGACTTTGCTATTTATGCAAGTAAATTTTGGTATGTAACTTCTATTTTATTTATTTTTTTATTAAACATTTTAGTATTTCAAAATTTTCTATGGAAGCATTTTTTAAATGAATATATAAAGGACCCCATATTAGGACTTCACTTAGGCCCCAAAAACTCAGTGCTAGCCCTGCTTGACAGTACTTTTACTTTCCTTTAATGTGATTCTTTCTCTTCTTATACTCACTGATAACAAAATTATTCACTTCTAATATCTAGTAAAGACACAGATTTCACTAATGAATTATGAAACTGTCCTTTACTCAACAGTGTCCTAGCTATCTTGCCGTGTTAATAGAACAAGAGTCCAGAGAACTCAGAAATGATGGAGTCATTTGGTGAGAAATGCTGAGAAGAGTCCAGAGAACTCAGAAATGATGGAGTCATTTGGTGAGAAATGCTGAGAAATATCTCTTTTCTCATGTTTGGTTTGTAGGTTAGAGTGAGCAAGGGTGAGAAAGAGAACTCTCTCTTACTAAGCCTATTTCACTTGATTGGTATAAAATAATTATAATACTATGATTCCCTTAATATATAAAGAAAAAGAAAAAAATCCCACTCATATCCCTCTCTCATATACTTTATTTTCTTACTCATCCAAACATTGATGGCAAGAAAAACCATTTCTTTTCTTTTTTTCACCGTACAATCCAAAGTGTGAAGTAAAAAAGGGTGAGTAGTAGCATATTGATAACTTGTAGTAACTAGGCCCCCTTTGTATATCATTTGGGAAAGTACTTAATTTGGTTTCAAAAGCAAAGATTGATGTAAATTGACTCTCAATAGCTGGATGGCCTACCAGAGAGAGACTAGCAAATAAATTTGCAATTGCAGAACCTGTAGCTGCTCACAAAGAAGTAGATAACTATGGTAATTAAGAAAAACAGAGTAAAACCCAACATTGAAGATGATGGGGGTACCTTGGATACAATCTTGAATTGAAAGCTGGAGACATGGGTTGGAAGCAATCTGTGGAGAACAGCTTTGGCCGCATGTTCTTGTACGGATGGAGTTGACCGTTTGGCTTCCAAGCGTCCAATCAAGGCCTCTATTGCCCCTGATTCTTCTGATGATGATGATAATGATATGGGTAGTAAGATGATCAAAATCAGAAGGATAAACTTGGCAGTGGACATGCTTTGGTTCAGATTCTGACTGTTCCTCCTCAGCAGAAGACTAGATTACTAGATCAAATGTTGTCACGCCTGTTTTAAACAATCGCTGAGCAGAAGACTAGATTACTAGATCAAATGTTGTCACGCCTATTTTAAACAATCGTTTCTCACTGACTGTTTTAGGTGTTCTTTTTTTTTTTTTTAATCAGATGCGACTAAAAAATAAATAATAATGACTCATGCACTTGGTCCAAGGAAAAGTGACTTGGGTCACTTAAGCATTGAACCTTTGTGGATATTAACAAACTCTTTGGAAGAAGACTCCCCATTTGGATGCTTTTCCCATATTAATTTAATTTATGGTTTTAATTTTTAAATTAGGTCTAGTTTGGATAGAATTTTTAAATTAGACTAAAGCGTTATTATAAATCACGCTTTCACTGTTTGGAGTCGAAAATTTGATGAATAGTGAAAGCGCTATTAGAAACCATACTTTTAATTAAGAAAGCGTGGTTCCAAACCACGTTTTTAATATAAATTTTTTCCTTGAAGAAAACGTGGTTTCAAACCACGCTTTCACTGTGCATGTCGTGTAATTTATTTTCTGAAAAAAGCATGGTTTAGAACCACGCTTTCACTGTGCATATTCATTTTGTGAAGAAAAGGTGATTCACAATCACGCTTTCAGTGTGCATTGTTTTTTCTTAAGAAAACGTGATTTGAAATCACGCTTTCACTGTTGGTAAATGAAAGCATGGATTGAAACCACGCTTTTACAACTTATATAAAAAACCCAAGCCCCCTCATTTGCAATCACATTTTTTACACTTCAACTTTTTTGATTTTGGCTCTCCCTCTCCTTCTGCTCACAGACGACTCTCGCTCTTCCTCTGCTCTCAGACTCTCACTCACTGTCGCTCTCGCTCTCCCTCTGCTCTCAGACTCTCTCTCTGCTCTCACTCTCTGTCTCTGCTCTCTCTCTCTGTCTGTGGTATGGCATATCTCTCTCTGTCTTATTTGAATTTTATGTATTTCTTGTATTTGTGAAAATGTGAATGTGTGGTTTAAAATGTGAATGTTAGGGTTTTAAATGTCAATTACTAAATGTGTTAGGGTTTTGAATTGGGGTTTTAAATGTGTGGTGATGAAATTATGAAATCGTAAAATGTTAGGGTTTTGAATTGTGAAATCAGAAATTATGCTTGTGGTTTCAGAAATTAGGGTTTGGAATTTTTTGAAATCAAAAATTAGGGTTTGGAATTTTTTGAAATCAGAAATTAGGGTTTGGAATTTTTTGAAATCAGAAATTAGGGTTTGGAATTTTTTGAAATCAGAAATTAGGGTTTGGAATTTTTTGAAATCAGAAATTAGGGTTTGGAATTTTTTGAAATCAGAAATTAGGGTTTGGAATTTTTTGAAATCAGAAATTATAAAAAAGGGTGAGTAGTAGCATATTGATAACTTGTAGTAACTAGGCCCCCTTTGTATATCATTTGGGAAAGTACTTAATTTGGTTTCAAAAGCAAAGATTGATGTAAATTGACTCTCAATAGCTGGATGGCCTACCAGAGAGAGACTAGCAAATAAATTTGCAATTGCAGAACCTGTAGCTGCTCACAAAGAAGTAGATAACTATGGTAATTAAGAAAAACAGAGTAAAACCCAACATTGAAGATGATGGGGGTACCTTGGATACAATCTTGAATTGAAAGCTGGAGACATGGGTTGGAAGCAATCTGTGGAGAACAGCTTTGGCCGCATGTTCTTGTACGGATGGAGTTGACCGTTTGGCTTCCAAGCGTCCAATCAAGGCCTCTATTGCCCCTGATTCTTCTGATGATGATGATAATGATATGGGTAGTAAGATGATCAAAATCAGAAGGATAAACTTGGCAGTGGACATGCTTTGGTTCAGATTCTGACTGTTCCTCCTCAGCAGAAGACTAGATTACTAGATCAAATGTTGTCACGCCTATTTTAAACAATCGTTTCTCACTGACTGTTTTAGGTGTTCTTTTTTTTTTTTTTAATCAGATGCGACTAAAAAATAAATAATAATGACTCATGCACTTGGTCCAAGAGAAAAGTGACTTGGGTCACTTGAGCATTGAACCTTTGTGGATATTAACAAACACTTTGGAAGAAGACTCCGCATTTGGAGGGTTTTCCCATATTAATTTAATTTATCATTTTAATTTTTAAATTAGGTCTAGTTTGGATAGAATTTTTAAACTAAACTAAAGCGTTGTTACAAATCACGCTTTCACTGTTTGGAGTCGAAAATTTGATGAATAGTGAAAGCGCTATTAGAAACCATACTTTTAATTAAGAAAGCGTGGTTCCAAATCACGTTTTTAACATAAATTTTTTCCCCGAAGAAAACGTGGTTTCAAACCACGCTTTCACTGTGCATGTCGTGTAATTTGTTTTCTGAAAAAAGCGTGGTTTAGAACCACGCTTTCACTGTGCATATTCATTTTGTGAAGAAAAGGTGATTCACAATCACGCTTTCAATGTGCATTGTTTTTTCTTAAGAAAACGTGATTTGAAATCACGCTTTCACTGTTGGTAAATGAAAGCATGGATTGAAACCACGCTTTTACAACTTATATAAAAAACCCAAGCCCCCTCATTTGCAATCACATTTTTTACACTTAAACTTTTTTGATTTTGGCTCTCCCTCTCCCTCTGCTCACAAACGACTCTCGCTCTTCCTCTGCTCTCAGACTCTCACTCACTGTCGCTCTCGCTCTCCCTCTACTCTCAGACTCTCTCTCTGCTCTCACTCTCTGTCTCTGCTCTCTCTCTGTCTGTGGTATGGCATATCTCTCTCTGTCTTATTTGAATTTTATGTATTTCTTGTATTTGTGAAAATGTGAATGTGTGGTTTAAAATGTGAATGTTAGGGTTTTAAATGTCAATTATTAAATGTGTTAGGGTTTTGAATTGGGGTTTTAAATGTGTGGTGATGAAATTATGAAATCGTAAAATGTTAGGGCTTTGAATTGTGAAATCAAAAATTATGCTTGTGGTTTCAGAAATTAGGGTTTGGAATTTTTTGAAATCAAAAATTAGGGTTTGGAATTTTTTGAAATCAGAAATCAGTGTTTGGAATTAGGGTTTGGAATTTTGCTTGTGAATTAGAAATCAAAAATTATGCTTGTGAATCCTGTCTATATTTTTTGAAATTAGGGTTTGGAATTTTGAATTGTGAATAAACCAACCTATATTTGTTGAATTAGAAATTTTATTTTTTGCTTGTTAAGAGGAATTAAAAGGAAATTAGGGTTAGAAATTAGGGTTTGAAATTAGGTATTATGAAATTTAATAAACTACTTAATTTATCCTCACCACTACTTAATTTTATAGATTTAATTATAGATAATGAGACCCATATTTGAAATCAATCTCATTTCTTTGATATGTATTTTATGTATTTTTTCCAAGTAAACTCTGTTATCCGAAGACTATTGTTTCAATAAACTAGCCGATATCTGAATGAGTCTATACATCTTTTCTATAATTTTTCATGACAAATTTAAGTTCCAAATATGCCATTAACACAATGGATTGCACAACCAATAGGATCCATCCAATGGAGACAAGGCATATATATAGTGTCACAGCAAGTTGGTTGGTTTAGCACCCAAAGCTGTTGACACGGTTGGACACTAACAACCAAAATTTATGCCCTCCATCCTCATTCTAAGGTTGTCCCTCTTGATGCCTTAGTTTCACTCATTGATTCCCAATATTGATTTAGGTTTATATGCACATTGCTCATATTCTTAACTTAAAGTAGAACATTACTCATCAGCATAAAAGCAGACATGACTTGAAAATGAAGGGTACCTGCAAGTGCAGAGAGATTTCATTTTGGTTGTTCAATACAATTTATTAAAATTGCAAGTATGATGAGATTGAGTAATAGAAAGATATTTATAAAAAAACGTTTACAATGTCCAATCCAATGAAAGGTACTTATTATGAGAATTTTAATCTCACCTTGGATGAATTAACCTATACTTTTATTTTTCAATTAAACGGGATTTATGTGAGACTCACTAAATTGTTAATCAATTCCATTCTCTAAGAGAGTTATCAAACATGGCCTAAGTATGTATCTCACTTAAGAGAGTTTTGAATCATATGTCTAAATACACTCCTATTCTTGAAATTATGCTTTGAAACTTATGTTTTCAGATTCTCATATAATATAACGATTGACAGAATGTATTAAGATAAAAGGACTTAAATGAATTTAAAGACAAAAAATTCTTGGTCATATTTAAAAGACCTCTTTTACCTTCTCTACTATATTTGAGAGTTAAATTGATACCAAAATGGTTAACATGTATCTTGTACGAAAAAAATTATGAGAGTTAACATGTATTTGAGAGTTAAATTGATACCAAAATGGTTAATATGTTAACATCTGACAAGATACATGTTAACCATTTGAAAGTAATTTTTTTTAATTAAGAATAAAATTATGCAAATTGAAATTCATATAATTGAGAATTGTTAATGTCATATTATGAAATTCATGAATTGAGAATTAAGGTGGACTGATAATTTCAATTCGAGGTCCACATGGTTACATATGTATGATCATTTTGTTTCAGAAAATAAGACTGTAAACTGTATGATTGAATTCAAAATCTGAAAACTGAAATAAATCTGAAAAAATCAAAAGTTGAGAGATTTGGCAACAAAAAAAAAATTGAATTTAGTGCATAACTGGCCATATAACTGATATAGGGGTATTTTTGAAAAACCCAAAATATGAGACGTGAACACCCAGAGAAGACTTCTCTTTATAATAGTATTACATATATATACACTTTTATTCAGTATTTCATTTGATAATATCAAGGTGGGGTTGTATACTTGAATTTGCCACCTATTATACTATATGAGAAATGGTATTTGTCACCTAATTTAGTTCACTATACTATGTTACCCTGTAGGTGTATTCATTCAATTCAAGACATTTCATCATAAAAAAAAACAAAAAAAAAATTGTCAAAAAAAAAAACTGCCCCTCCAAGCTAACCAACAAAAAAAAAAAAAACTGAATTTTGGGAGGTGCCACATTCTTCCACAACCATTTGGAAAATCAAACCAAACAATTTATTTTTGTCAAATTGATTTATATATTTT